AAATCGAAAAAAGTGTAATTCAAAAATTAGCTAAGGTAATTTGCGGATTGTGTGGCTATTTTTGTTATATTTTTTTTAATATATTGGGTAATTGTTGGATTTCTAAGCTAAAACTGATTATTTTGGTGATTTCCCTTTTAATATTTAGCGGTCAAAGAATTGGTCTCTAAAGAAATCTTGAACTTCGCAATTACGGTTAACCACACTGTTATTATTGGGCTAAGAGTACCAGCGACACTACAAGAAAATAAACCTTAAAATATTGCTACAAAACAAATGAACTCTTTATCTTTAAAGCAATTTTGTCTCATCATCAATTTAAATCATAACACCACATGGTCCATCTTGGACACAAAATTCCGCAAATATGAGCACAAATTCCATAAACCTGACGCAAATTCCGTGCAAAATTCCGCCAATCTGACACAAATTCCACAACCCTGAAGCAAATTTTGCACAAATATCCACAAGATACTAAAAATTCAAAAAAAGTACAATTCACAAATTTGCAAAGCTAATTTGGAGATTATGTGGCTATTTTGTGATGTATTAAAAAATATTGGCTAATTGTTGAATTTTTAAGCCAAAAAATGACTATTTCGGTGATTTTCCCTTTTTATAATAATGATCAAAGAATTGCTCTTCGTAGAAACTTGAACTGCTAAATGATGGTTAAACATTGATACTATTGGACTAAGAGTAGCGAGTGATACTACAAGGAAACAACCTTAAAGTATTATAGATAAAGTTATTTGAACTAGTGTTCTCGTGTGCCTTTTAGGAGTGTTTTTTTTAAGAATATATCAACGTTTTCTAGACAAGTAGTTTTAGACTTTGGTACTAGATAAAAAATTTATAGAAATAATAAACAATATTATAAAATGAACGATCAATTAACTTTTTACATATTTTTTCCAAAGTAATTAATTAATGTGTTTGGTCCCTTAATATAATACGGATTTTTTTGGTCCTATTAGATGGTAAAAGAATTTAAATGTCTTCTATTTACTATTTTTTTTACTGTTATTTTATACTATAAGAATTTGGATTCCTAGTTTCTTATGGGCCTTAGGTATATGCTCGATCTGTCCTCCCTTAAGTCTGACCTGCCCCCGGCAGACCCTCTCCCCTCCCGGGGGCGGCCAAAGGGCCAAACGTTTGCGTGGATTTGATGCTTGTGTGTATATATATGTATATATATATACTAGTTGTGTACCAAAGCAATACGGCGGGAGCCGTGAATTTTAACAATTTTGAAGTTTCACTGGTTTTATTAGAATAGATTTAACGATAATAAAAGCTACATTTGGTCTTTACATATTAATACAATTTGAATAAATAAGCATTATGGTTTCAATTACAGTCTATCGATGAAAAAAATTGTATAACAATTTAAAATCCAATAAATTTAAACGGCTCCACAAATGTGTTCGATTTACACCAAGAGCAAAGAATCAAGAGATCGAGAGCGAGAGCGAGAGTTCTAGAACAATTGAATGGAGATGAATGAGAGAACTTTTAATAACTCATGGTGAATATGAGTTTGAATATCACCATGGGGGATGTGGAGAAGACATAGAGGTATGAGAGTGTGAAGACATAAATGAAAAGTGTCAAAAATATCTTGGGATCATGAAAAGAAAAGGTAATAATGTGCATTGGTAACTTGTACTATATGTTATTTTAATTGTAAATTAAGAGATTTTAAGATTGAATGCATAAAGTAGTAGTATTGAATGCATTATAAGTTGTTTTTAAGACTTTCTGCATAAATGTACAATACTTTGTGCATTAAAAATTGTTTTTAAAACTTTTAATAAATTTGGTTTACAACATAATATATATAGAAGTTATGTTATCAATAAATATAATATATCTAATAATTATTTAAGTTATCTATACTATCTTATAAAGCATTTGGCTAAAACTCTTAAAAACTCTTAAACTCGTTCATCCCTAAACGATTTCATCACATATCTGAATTCGTGTAACTAACTACAGATAAACACAATCAAATACAGGATAAACATCTCATTTTAAATATATAAAAAATCTAAAATAGAATTAGTATAATCATTAAATTCTAATAGAATACTTAATTATTATCTTTATAAAATTTATAATATTAAACCAAAAATAAATT